GTTGAAGAGGCTGTGCTTCTTCCACTGTACATCTTTGGAACCTTTGTCAAATATCAACTGACTGCAGGCATGTAATTTTATTTCTGGATCTTCTATTCTATTCAATTGGCCTTTGGGTCAGTTTTCGTACCAGTATCAGGCTGTCTTTGTTATTATGGCTCTATAGTAGAGTTTGAAGTCTGGCATCAAGAACCCTCCCATGTTGTCATTTTGCCTAGAATTGTTTTGGCTATTCTAGGTCTTTTGTTGTTCCATATGAATTTTGGACTGTTTGCTGTACTTCAGGATTGTAAATCACTGGGATTTTGTATTTGCTCAAGTTCCTTGGATGGACAGATATGGTCTATTTTTTAGAAAGTTCCATAAGCTGCTGAGAAGAACATGTACTGTTTCATTGAGGGTGAAATACTTGGTAGATGTCAGTTAGTTCTGCTTGAAATATGGCCTCACTTAATTGGGTAGCATCTTTGCCAATCCTCTGGTTGATAGACCTGCCATTTGGTAAGAGTGGGGTACTAAAGTTTCATAGTATTATCGTATTTGGATCTATTTTATTCTGTAAGTTTGAGCTTTTGCTTAACATATTTGGTTGCTCCAATGTTTGGGGAGTATAGGCTGATAATGGTAATATACTATTCTGGATTGTTCCCTGTATTATACGTAGTATCCTTCCTTGTCTTTTTGTATTGATTTTAATGAAAAGTTTATTTTGTCAGATATCAGGATAACTACCCCTGATTTCTTACTGGAGGCATTTGCTTGGTAGATCTTTCTCCAACCCTTCACTCTGAGTTTGTTTGTATGTTTGGTGAGAGGTGGGTCTCCTGAAGTCAACAGATGGATAGGTTGTGTTTTCTGATCCAATCTGCAGTTCTTTTTTTTTTTTTTTGATTGCTGAATTAAGTCCGTTAATATTTATGATTATTATAGAGAGATGCATTGCGAATCCTGTCATTTCCTGTTTTCCTAAGTTTTTCTTCTTTCCTTTCCTTCTGTGCTTACTAAGTTAGACTTCTGGTGATACCTTTCTGATGATGATCCCAGTTCCTGATTGTTTTCTTCAGCTTGTGTTCCCCTGCTTAGTATTCTTTGCAACTCTGGTTTATTTTTTAGTGTTCATTTAATTTTTTTCCTATTAAAAATTTTAGTTTCTCTATTGAATGTGAATGCTAGCTTTGCTGGGTATATCAGTCTGGGCTGACAGTTATTGGTTCACAGGGCTTGAATCTTACATTCCCATGCCTTTCTTGCATTCAGTGTCTGTGTGGAGAGATCTGCACTTTGCTGCATAGACAGTAAAGGTTGGGGACAGGGACTTCAGCTTTTCGGTACTGAAATTCTTCCCTTCCTTTCTTTCTCTTTTTTTTTTCCACCTCCTGTTTTTCTCTGGGTGTTCATGCTTTTTTTGTTTTGGTTGCCTGAGGAAATTAAGCATTGGTACTCAACCTCTCTTTTTGGTTGGAGAGAGCTGTGTATTTCCCTACTGTCCCATTGCCATCTTGTCTCCCCTCCCCATCCTTGGTTCTTTACACCTTGGTTGTGTCTAAGCACAGAAGCAGCTCTATCCAGTAAGTACAGATGTAATGGTTTTGTCTAGCCAGCTGTTAGGACAGCACAGTAAAAATTATTTCACCACTTGTGTGAATGCCAAAGTTCACCATGTTTTATATGTTCTTCCTTGTGTTTGATTACCAAAATGGGTAACCAAAACATTTTTTTCTACCTATACAGTACTGGCTGTTTCCTGTTGAGGTCTTCACCAAACTACAATACATGTGTTATTCTAAACTATTTCTGAGTACTACAAAGGGACTATCACAATGATATTAAAGGTCAAGGCCTCGGTTATAAAAACAGCATCAATGATATTATTAGGAGATTCTATTTTGCCTAGCTATGATCATTGTGTTCTCTGTTGCTCTTTTTATTCCATATGCATCATCTTTCTGTACTTCACATGGAATTTACATCAGGGCCACCTAGAGAAATGAAAGTGATCTTGTTTTCATATGGGTTTTTTTGGGGGGGTGATGGTTCTGATAGTTGAAGTCAGGGTATGGGTCTTGTTTCTAAGCATTGTTTTTGTGTAAACCTATTGCTTTACCATTTGAACCAAAGATATATTCTGGCTTTTGTTGGTTCATTGCAGATAAAAGACTCATGAACTTTCCTTCCCCAGGCTGTCTTGGAACCCTGATCCTCTCATGTCAGCTCTCTGAGGCATGAAGGCATGTGTGCTCAGCAGAGTGAGTGATTTTAATGTATCTCATAAGTGTATAGAAACACACTGTGACAGCTCTCTGTGCAGTGGTCTTGCTGCTTATGGACATAAGGCATGTGACTAGGATAATTTTGGCAGGTTGTCCCCTTTGACAAGGTAAATATCCATTTTATTCCACTGTGAGCACAGGAACAGGTCCATTGTACCTTAATCTCTTCCTTAGAAATGACTTAAGCTTACTTCCTATACTATTGGAGTATGATGGATATATAAAGGAAACTAGCTATTTATTAATAGCATAAATGGTAAGTTTATACTTAATAAAGGGCAAACAGTTATTGGAGTTGAAGTTTCCTTGTTCCTATTTCTCTAGTGGGCAACTTATCTGAGTCTTCAAAAGTTTGATGTAGATATTTGACATGGTAGTCTAACACTCATTTGTTTATTATAGGAAGGCTGTTTTGACTCTCATTAAAGTGTTATTGTAGCAAAATCCATCAATGTCCCTGTGTTATATGATACTTGCTCAACAATGGTGGTTGTTACATAAGCACCTATACAGAACAGCGAGCACTCTCTTCTTTGAGTCCTTGTAAATGGGAATAATCTATTTGGCTTCCAGACATTTTTGTCTTTGTGCAGATGCTTTCCTGTTTTCCAGCAGTGTGCCAGCAGAATTAGAGACAGCGCTGTGTGTGTCTCTGTCATGCATGCGTGGGTGATGTCACTCCAATGAGCTACAGCTACAACATTGAATGACGTCAAGATTTCTGGACTCAGCGACATGATCTTGCTTGTCATTTGGACTCCTCCTGACTCTAGAATGCGGTGGTGGCCTTGCAATATTCCTACTTCAAGCTCCTCGACACTTCTGATTTCTTAAGGGACTTCTGAATCATTCTTGTTCTCATAGAATCATAAAGAACATTGAGTGATACGGAGTCAGAGCCTATCTAAATGTTTATCCTCTCTTTGGAGAGCTTTGTATCCTCTTATAAATCACTTCATTCCTCCTTCCATTAATATTGGGGATTCTTAGTGACTGGGATGACAAGGCTTTGCTTGGCCAAGATAAATAATGATCAATAACTATTGCTACAGCTTCTCATTTCGACAGATCTAGTTATTTTTGGTGCCCTTGCATTTCTTCCAGAAAAAAATGCTAGATTCCTGTGGGAAACTGGAGCAGATTAATATTCTGCTCTAAAACTCTTAAGGAAGGAAGTGTGAGAATGAGAGATTTTCTAAAAAACTGCACTCACTAATATAGAAAAATAGAAAATATGTGAACTGCACAGAGTTTTCTACATCTCATTGTTACAATGGTCAACCTCTATACCTATTTGAGCATTTTCTTTTTTCCTTTTCCTTCCCACAATTACAGAACTGCATATAGAAGATACAGAGTACCAGAATCAAATACAGTGAAAACAAGGGTTATACGATGGAGGAGGACATACAAAGAAAAAAAATCACATAGAACTTTAAACTTCATCATATTAAGGGCAAGTAATTGTGGAGGTTGGAGGGAAGGGATTGTAGGGGAAAAACAAAGGAAGAAGCAACAATGCTTGATACAAAATGTACTCATTACCATGTTCATGTACTTGGAACCCCTCCCTACAGTATTTTTACAATAAAAAACGTACAAAAAAGAGAAAAGTAATAAAGAAAATCTGTGAACAGAAACTAGATCAGAGAATGGACTCGAGGTACCATAATGCAATCATGGAAACATTCGACAACATAATGTTCATATACTAGTAGCCTTAGCAATATAGTGATGTACAAGCAGCAATATAGCATAGATATAAAGAGTAATTGAAACAGGAAAGAGAAAGGAAGAAGCACAGTACATAATATACTCATAAGGAAGAATGACAGCATAAAGGGCAGATTGCACTGGAAGAAGCATAATATATCCAAGTTAGAATGCAACTTAGGAGGACTTGTTGGGAATTTGCTATGGCTCTAACATAAGCAGAGGAATGAATTAGAGTCAATACTTTGTTCAAAGAATTCCTCAAATTAATCTAAGTTGTGATTGCCAAATTGGTACAGATTTCTCTCAAAGGCTCTATACATTCTAAACAATACATGTCCAACTTAATATGTATTTCTTCTAGAATGTGATCTCTGCCTGAATCTGGACAGAAAATTTCTCTGAGGTCTTATCAAGATGATGTAGCACTTAGGGACAAAGATGAAGCCAAGGAGGCCTCCACTGGAGGCCAAGATGGAGAACTCCACAGCCATCATGACTTTACCCATGGCACTGTGGTGGACAGGCAGGAAAGTGAGCCACACACTGCAGAACAGCAACATGCTGAAAGTCAGAAACTTGGCCTCGTTGAAGGTGTCAGGCATGTTCCTGGCCAGGAAAGATACTGTGAAGCTGGCTAGGGCCAGGGCACCCAGGTATCCCAAGACACAGTAGAAGGCACTGAGGGAGCCCATGTTGCACAGGATGATGATATGTCCATGTTCAGAGTGTGCATCTATGTCCACAAAGGGAGGAGAGGTTCCCAGCCAGAGGCCACAGAGAGTCACCTGGATTAGGGTGCAGATGGGGATGATGAGGTTAGGAACCCAGGACACAAGCCACTGTCTCCTGCTTCTTACTGGAGCAGTGAGCATGAAGGCCAGAATCACAGAGATGGTCTTGTCCAGGAGAGAGGACACAGCCATGGTGAATACCACTCTGAATATTCTGTGCTGGTGGAAGCAGGTGGCTGTGTGGGAATGGCTAAAGAAGAGCAAGGAGCAGAGGAAGCAGCAGATGAGGGAGATGAGCAGGATGTAGCTGAGGGCCCGGTTATTGGCCTTAACAATGGGGGTGTCTTGGTGCTTGATAAACACCCCAAGAAGAACAGCTGTGAGTGCAGTGCAGCAGAGAGCCAAGTAGGACAGAGACACACCCAAGGGGTCTTCATAAGCTAGGAAGCTCTTAGTTTTCATGAGACAGTAGCAGTGTTTCTTCATAAGCTAGGAAGCTCTTAGTTTTCATGAGACAGTAGCAGTGTCTCTTGTATTTTCCAAAATCGATTCAGATAACCCAGTTCCATCTGCTAAGAGTGCTTTCATAGAAAGTCTGCATGCCTAGTGTAGGTTACCCAAAAGCAAAGACATTGCCTATGTACAAAGAAATACCCTTGGTTGAACATTCTGCACTGGTGGCTCTTCCATGTGACCAAGAAACATCTAGTGGAGGGCGTGGGCCACAGCATAAACACTGTTGTAGATGTTGTAACTCTCGTCTGACATGGTCATGTAAAAAATGTGCCTCAGCAACCAATGCGGTGTGGTATTGTATGAACAGTGCCCCACGTCTCTGCAGTCAGAATTAATCAGTAAGCAATAAATAGATTGAATCTATGAGCTGTGAAGGGAATTATCTCCTGAGTTCTTGGACAAGGTATCTGTCAGAATATAATTGTTGAACCCATAAGTGTTTCTACGATGGTAAGAGAAGATGAGAGTAGCATGGAAAGAATTGAGCAGAAAATATCATTTACCAATAGTCACATCACCATATAGTGAGTTCATGACCCACGCTTTCCCTATAATTAAAAAGTGCCCAAATTTAAGAATAAAGCTTAGTAGAAATTTACTGTCTCCATAAATGATAATCACATTTGTTGATGAGTCTAGGCAATTAGCTGGCAATGCATCCATAGATCATTTGAGAAATCTGAAAAAGCACTGTGAGTTATCACGTTCTGAAAAGCCAGACAGACTGCATTTATACACATCTCTTCTCTCAATTCTGAGAGGAACCACACACCATAGTCATCTTGGGTTATGAACAGTCCCACCCAGGTCCAGCAGAAATGAAGCATCAAGGAGACCATGGCCAGAGCTAGAGCTGAGTCCTTGGCAGCCATATGATAGACAGTATCGAACTTTCCATGGTCACTCAGGAGAAGATCAAAAGTCCCAAATATGAACTAGAGGGAAAAAAATGAACATAAACCAGGAAGAGGATGGTCATAGGCAAATCCCGGTCCTCAGGTGAGCTACAAAACAACTATCAGTGGTGGGAGCAAAAGTTTCCTTATACCATTTGCAAAGTCATCTCCCGTGTTCTGAGTTCTCTGTAGAAATGTAAGCATAAGGCTCAGAGTTTTGGGTAATCCTTTAGTCTCTTAAAACATTTCCTTTTATTTATTTATTTTTGCAGCAAAGAACATGTGTATGTTCCACCCACTTTTGGAATCTTTTCTCTGTGCAATCAAGTAATTTTAAGGGCTGGTGATAACACTTTTTCGTCAGCCTGTAGAGGACATAGTTAATGTGGACATGGCTTCACATCTGCCCACTCTTCCCATCCTTACCTGTGGACATTTGTAGAGGTCTAACAGTGTCCAAGTTGAGACACATATACTAGAGGTTCCTTGAGTTCTGCTATATGTTTGCTGTCTCTTCTGTAGGTGTAATTAGGGCAGTTTTTATTCATCCCAGACAGCCAGATGAGTGGATACTTTAACATCATTATCTGTGTAAAGTGCACTATAGATTTTAAACCCAAGAGTCAGGTTGGGTAGCAGATGGGCATTCTTGTTGATCTCCTCCACAGCTAACACCAGAGTAAGAAGCAATTGGTATTTCTTTAGGTTTATCCTGCACAGAGGTCACAAAAATTTGGTGTGTATATGTGTATTAAAAATGATTAACTGCAAATCTCATGACATTGTTGAATCAAATGCTTATCTCTACACAGTAGTATATGTAGATCCTATCTTCCAACAGGATGGCATTACAATTTGGAGAGTTCCTGAATGGGCCTTGATCAGCATACAAGAGATGACTATTATTCAGAGATTGCAGAAAGGGGTGGGCAGGGATAAGCAAGCTGGTTTTTCCTCTCTGGCATGTATGGATATGTGAAAAACACTGCTGTCTGCTGGGACATAGGAGTATGCCCAGCTGACATCCAAAGTCAGTAAGTACCTTGGATTAGCTGTGCATCTGAGAAAACTCTTAAGAAATATAATTCAAATTGGGAGCAGCTTGTTCACCTGACTTCAACTAGTATGAGCAGAGAGGCAGAGCCTGCTGTGTTAGGACTACATAGGAAAACAGGCTATCTTGTCTCTGTGCTCACTTGCTAAATGATTGCAGACGGCCTACCCTGCTGCAAAGAAGTTAATCTTGCCTTGTGAGGAATTTAAAGAAAACAAAGAAATACAATTCATGTTATGTGGCAGAGGCACACTAAGCTGACTCAGAGAATATCATCATTCAAGGAGATTCCCCAGAAGCAGAGCAAGATGGCAGCCAAGGAAGATAGAACATGAAGATTGCACCACCCATGAAAGAACACATGAGAGTCAAGGGGTGCGGATCAGAGGGTACTTCTCTAGTAGAACAAAACAACAGAAAAGGATGTGTAAGAAATTGTGGAAAGAAGCTGGCTCCATGTCTCACCATAATCAGTGTTAGTAGTTCTCTATGGACATAAACCCTCCGACATTGCATGGAGGGAATTAAAGTTAAATCTCAGCATCATGACCATAAACTGAGACAAGCGGTTGGAAAATGGTTATAGTCTCTGCCCTTGGGTCCAGATTGTGCCTCTGGAACTCTTTTAGGACAGAGAAGGAAGAGACTGACACAACCTCCCTCCTCCAATCTTGTAAATGACAGCAGGTATTGGATTCAACCGCCTAGTGAGCAGGGTTAAATGTGGGTCAGGATTTTTCTTAAATCCCTGTGTCAGACATGAAATTGTTGAACCAATAATCCAGAGGAAAGTAGTCACTTGCTTGATGCTAGCACCAATGCTTCCATTGGAATCTCCAGGAGGATCTCCACTGCCTCAGGGCAGTCTAGGAAAGAAAGTCTGTGAATTTTTTTTTTAGTCATGGGGCTTGAATTTTGGGCATGAGTGCTGTCCCTGAGTTCTTTAGCTCAAGGCCAATGCTCTAGCACTTTAACCACAGCACCTCTTCTAGAGTGGGACTCTAGATAGCGGTGACCCTCCCTCATCAAAATCTATCTAGTCCCAACCAAGCCAAAAGAAAAGTGGACTACTGGAAAACATACAAGGTTTTATCAGGAATTGGCTTTGAGGAATACATAGAGACTCAAACTCCCCAAACAGCCAGATAAAACCACTCAAGATTTTTTTGCTTGTTTTTATATCTGATCTTTGTTTTGTTTTTCCTCTGTGTTACTTTTGTGTAGTGTTCTTTAGGATTTGTTATTTCACTTAAATCTTCTATTTTTCCCTATTACTAGATTTCTTTTCTTCCACTTTTCAATTTCTTAATTTTCTATTTTCTGTTTCCTCTTACTATCCCCTTTTTGTTTCTTTACACATTATACTGCTACTCCATCAGAGCTACCCTGTCTAGTTCTATACACAAAGAAAGGCCTCCTTCTATGTATGTACACAACAATTACAGGAGTTATCTTAAATTAAGCAACAGCCCAATACTCTTTGAATAAACATTTTTCTGATCTCAGCAATTTTCCCAAATACACTTATATATAACTTCTTTTTTTATCTTCATCTAGATCTCTAAGCTATTCCCTACATAACATTTCTTCGAATTCTTTTCTACCTCTTACCCTCAGAAACAAGGTCTCTATTCTCCTCCTACTGCATATACCTCTCCTCTAAGCTGTTCTTATCCCTCTACTATCATTATAACCAATTTTTTTTCTGAACTTAAATTTATATCTCTCCAATCAATCCTAACCCTTCTCATTTCCATCTGCTCCAGTCCATTGATCCTAACAGTTTCTATCTGACCCAACTTACTGTTGGTTCTTTTATGACTCAGTACAAGAGGCCCATCTTGTTACCTTTAAGATGCAGACTACTTATCAGCCAATCGTAGATCTTCTCAAAAGTTACTACTCTACACAATCTCTACCCCGGAGCCACAACATCCCTCTCCAAGCAAAGAAAAAGAGAGCTGAATAGGGAGACATGTACCCATAATTCTGAAACCCTAAGAACTATACATTTACATGACACTGGATTGCTTCCAGCCCTAAAAGACTTTTTTGTCATTGTACCGGTGTGGTTTTTGTCTCCAAACGGTTAGAACTAACTCTAACACCATCCCCCTATATACAAGCTATAGATCAGTCCCAGAATGACCTAGAGGATAATGCTCAAGCTATTTTAAAAGCATGGTTGGTAAATCTGCTGAATGAAAATTTGGACACCCTTCATAGGGTTATAAAAGAAGGTGATAAGGCCAACCAGAAGCTAATAAATGACTTCATGGCCTCCACAAATAAAAGGATAAAGGAACTTCAACAGAAGAAAGAGTCTAATGAAAAGACAGAAACCCAGATAAAAGAATGGAAAGAGAAGTCCGAAAACCAACTGGAGCAGATAAGGCAATTGATTCATGACTTAAAAAAAAAAAACAAAAAACCTTAATAAAGAGCTGGCCACCACTAAGAAGGAAAGGAGATAAACAGCAAAGTAAAAAGCCTTGAAAGCAGAATGGAAGAAGAAAGAATATCTGAGGCAGAATACAGTTTAGACTCCAGAGATAAAAAGTAAACAGATATTCATAACAAAACCCAGAAGCATGACAGATCACTGCAGGGAATACAGGAGATATTCACAAAGCATAATTTGAGACTAAAAGGTATACAAGAGGCCTGGAGAAGTAAGCCAATGGATTAGGAAATATATTCAGCAGAATCCTTCCCAAATATACAAAAGGGAAGGCACATCCAGTTACAAGCAGCTTTCAGAACCCCAAATAAGCCACACCAGAACAGATCATCTCACCACCACATTATAATCTCTCCTGGAACAATATCCACTAAGGAAAGCAATTTAAAAGCGGCCAGGGAGAAGAGAACGATCATATATAAAGGTAACATAATCAGAATCACCTCAGACTACTCAGCAGACACCATAAAAACAAGAGTGGGATCTGGGAAGGTGGCTCAGTGGTAGAGCGCTTGCCTTGCATGCATGAAGCCCTGGCTTCGATTCCTTAGCACCACATAAGCAAAAAGAAAAAAGCCAGAAGTGGCTCTGTGGCTCAAGTGGTAGAGCTCTAGCCTTGAGCTGAAGAGCTGAGGGACAGCACCCAGGCCCAGAGTTCAGGCCCCAGGACTGGACGACCCCCTCCCCCCAAAAAGGAAGCATGGCCTGGAAAGAAGTATGCCACACCCTAAAGACAAATACCTACCAACCAAGAATAATCTACCCAGCTAAGCTCTTATTCATAGCAGAAGGACAAATAAAAACCTTCCATAGCAAGGAAAATCTATCAAACCATCTCTTCAAAAAATCCTCAAAGATGTTGTATACATAGAAAGTCAACAAGAACACAATATAGGCAATGAAGCGGTCCACAAACAGAGAACTACGGAATCACAACAAGAACAGCTAAGGCACAGCTTCCCTAGGAAAAAAAAGTTGGTAATAAATCAGGGATAGACACCTTTCAGTCCTAACTCTCAGTAATAATGGACTTAACTCTCCAATTAAGTGACATAGATTGTCCAGTTGGATCAAAAAGCAAGAATCTTCTATATGCTGTCTTCAAGAGACACACCTTGCCCACAGAAATAAACATATTCTGAAAGTGAAAGGCTGGAATAAAATCTACCAAGCAAACTGCCACCCATGAACAAGCAGGAGTTGAAATCCTAATATCAGATAAAATAGACCTCAAATTAAAATCAATGAGAAGAGATAAAGACGGTCACTACATACTAATTAAGGAATCTACCCTTCAGGAGGTTATTATGATTCTAAATATTTATTCACTAATAACAGAGCACCCAAATTTATCCAAGAAAAACTACTTTCCCTCAAATCACACATAGATTCAAAAACAATAATTGTTGGGTACTTTAACACACCACTATCCCTGCTAGATAGATAAACTCAGCAAAAACACAACAGAGAAACCTCAGATCTTAACATCTGCATAGGTCAACTAGACTTAACAGACATTTACCAAATATTTCACCAAGCAGTATCAGATTATACTTTCTTCTAAGCACATATACAACATTCTTCAAAATAGACCACATTCTAGGCTACAAAGCAAATTTGTTCAAATTCAGAAACATTGAAATTTTGCCCTGCATTCTCACAGACCACAAGGGAATAAAATTAGAATTCAACACCAAAAGCCACCAAAAGAGAACCTGTAATACATAGAAGCTGAACAACACACTGTTGAATCACAAACGGGCCATGAAAGATATTAGAAATGACATTCAAATGCTCATGTTGTTTAACAAAAATGAACACACAAACTAGGACCCAGCAAAGGCATTACTCAGAGGCAAGTTTATAGCTCTGAGTTCCCCATTCTTTAATTGGAGAGATATTAAACCAACAATTTAATGAGGCACATAAACTTCAGAATGAAACAAATAATGTTAATTAAATCTGAATTAAATGAAGAAAACTTTAGAAAGAATTGACAGGACAAAGAGTTTGTTCTTTGAAAAAATTAATAAAATTGACAAACCCTTGGCAAACCTTATCAGAGATGAGATGGAAAACATCACTACAGAAACAACCAAGATTCAGAATATAATAAGGGAATACTTTCCAAACTTTTATGCTAATCAATTTGAGAATCTGAAAGATATGGATCAATTTGTAGCAAATATTAAACCAAGATGATTTAAACCAACATAAAAGACCCATATCAATTATCAAAATAGAAACAGCAATAAGAGATCTCCTACCCAAGAAAAGCCAAGAACTGCATGGATTTACACCTGACTCCTACATGGCCTTCAAAGCAGAACTCACACTAATACTCCTCCAACTCTTCTATGAAACTGAAAGAGAAAGATCACTACCAAACACTGTCTATGAAGCAATCATAAACTTCATCCCAAAAACCAGGCAGGGAATCATCAAAGAAAGAGAACTATAGACCCATTTCTTTGATGAACATCGATGCAAAACTTCTCAAGAAAATTTTGGCCAATTGACTTCAACAAATCATCAAAAAAATCATACACCACGTTCAAAGAAGATTCATTTCAAGGATGGAAAGATGGTTCAACATACACAAATCTACTAATATAATTCATCACATCAACAAGAGCAAGGATAAGAACTACATGATTATCTAAGTAGATGCTGAAAAATGATCTGACAAGATCCAACCCTACTTTATGATGAAAGCTCTGGAAAAACTAGGAATCCATGGAACATTCCTCAATATAATAAAGGCAGTGTCTGATAAACCAACAGTCAGCATTATAATTAATGGAGAAAATTAAAGCCATTACCTCTAAATTCAGGAATAAGACAAGGATATCGCGCTCTCCACTCCTCTTCAACTTAGTACTAGAATGCCTAGCTGGGGCAATAAGAAAAGATGCAAACATAAAGGGGGTCCAATTGAGCTAGATGAAGTAAAATTCTCCCTCTTTGCAGATGACATAATCTTGTGTTTAAGGAACCACATGGACTCCACTACCAAGATGTTGAGCTGATCAGAAACCTTGGCAAAGTAGCAGGGTATAAAATTATCCCTCAAAAATCACTTGCTTTTGTGTATGCCAACAATGCTTTTCCTGAAATCAGGAAAGCTACTCGTTTTGTAATAGCCCCACCAAAAATAAGGCATGTAGAAGTTAACTTAACTAATAGTTGAAGGACTCTATGATGAAAACAGTAAAAACCTGAAAAAGGAAATTAAAGTCAAACTAAGGAAGTGGAAAAACCTCCCATGCTCCTGCATTAGGAGGATTAACATCATGAAAATAGCAATACTGCCAAAGGCTATCTACAATTTCAATGCCATACCTATCAATATTCCAACCTCATTCTTCAGGGAAATAGAAGAAACAATCCAAAAATTCATATAGAACAATAAAAGACCTGAATAGCAAAAACAATCCATACCAGAAAGAACAGCACTGAAGGAATATCAATTCCATAGTTGAAACTCTACTACAAAGTCAAAGTAATGAAAGCAGCTTGGTACTGCCACAAGAAAAAACCTGAGGACCAATGAAATAAGACTGAAGACCCAGAAATGAAGAAACAGACATATTAGGCACCTAATCTATAACAAGGGTGCTTAAAAATAGAATCAAAGAAAGACAGATTCTTCAGTAAATGGTCATGGCAAAATTGCTTAATCACCTGTAGAAGACTAAAGCTAGATCAGTGTATACCACCTTGCACCAGAATCATCTCCAAATAGATAAAAGACCTTGAAAAAAAAAAGCAAGATCCATGAAAACATTATAAGATGGAATAGGAGAAACTCTTGGGCTGCTTGGCATAGGCCAAAATTTTCTTAATAGAGACCCAGAAACACAACAAATCAAAGAAAGTTTGACAATGTGATTGCATGAAATGACACAGTTTCTGCATGGCAAAGGACATAGCTAACAAGATCAATAGAAAGCCCACAGACTGGGAGAAGATATTCACTAGCCATACAATGGACAAGGTCTCATATCTAAAATATTCTTAGAAGTCAAAAAACTTTAATCCCCCAACAACAAATCCACAAAGAAACAAATTCCCGATAAATACGTGGGCAGGCAGAAAAATGCTCTGCTTTACCCACGATTTTGTGATCCTGCTCCCAGGCTAGTTCAGTGGAAGGAGATCTCCTTTGAGTATCACAAAAGAGGCTGTTTCCTCTAGTTTGGAGATGCTGTCATGAGGCTAGGTTCTGGGCAGAGTTGAGGCCTTTCAGCAAACAGTAGCTTTTACCTGAGGGGTTAGCTTCTGAGATATTCACAGAGCCCAGCCTGGAGCCATTCTCAGGGTTTATGTTTACTGAATTTCAATTGATTGTCAATGCTCCCTGAGAATGAGTGAGCACATCAGGGTTCTACTCACATCTTAGTTCCTTGGTCATGTCTGGTCTGCGATCTTCAGGATGAAGCTATCTTTTCCTTGTCAGTTCTTGCTGGTGTTGTCTAGAATCCACTTGCCTGCTGTGTTTGGCACCTTTGTAGTGGACTTTCTGTGTTGTTGGTATTGCAGCTACAGCCTGCGCTGCTGCTGTCACAGCCACAGCCACAGCCACAGCTGCTGGCAAGTGCACAGATCTGTCTCCTTGCCTGAATTTTCCCTCTCTGGCCAAACTCTCAGTGCTGTGATGGCATACTTGGTGTAATTGTCTGGCCTACGACTGTTCACTGGAACACCAACTGTTTTCTATGCAAAAGCTTGTTTAGCCTCCAGCTTCTCTGCCATATTTCTGGAACTCTGTGCATTTTTGTTTGTTTGTTTGTTTTTATTTTTTGGGGGGCGGGTCCGGTCGTAGGGCCTGAACTCTGGGCCTGGGTGCTTTCCCTCAGCTATTCAGCTCAAGGCTAGCGCTCTACCACTTGAGCCACAGCGCCACTTCCGGCTTTTTTCTTTTTGCTTATGTGGTGCTGAGGAATCGAACCCAAGGCCTCATGAATGCAAGGCAAGGACTCTACCACTGAGCCACCTTCCCAACCCCCTGTGTATTATTTTTTATTCAGAGATCTTGTCATTATAGTCAGAATTGACCAACTCTGGGTGAGAAATTACAACGCAGTGAGAATGTCAACAATTATTGTACTTATAGTCTGATTTAGGGTATTGTAAGCTTTTCCTACAACTACTCAATAATTATAAAAAAACATTAAAAAGGAGACAGTGACAAAACTTAAAAGACCCACCTAGGTAATTCCTATGGGCCACTCTATCAGATTTTCAAACAAAATTAATTGTTGAACATGTGGCTTTGATGGAGAAAACTTGCCAACTTTCATCGTTTGTCCCAGACCTTCTGGAAAATTCCAAAAGCTCATAATGTCATACTTTGCCCCCAGTTTTCTTTCCTCATTCCAAACCACTGGTTCTCTGACAGGATTGGTAAACTGGATCTCCTTCAAAAAGGGATGCAGCTAAAAGACATACATTACCCTTTGTTGAAGTGCTTCCCAGAGTATCTACAGTAGCCCAAAATAATGAACAGGCAACTGATTAACTTTCATGCCCTCCACAAATTCACATACAGCACAGGAATCCAATCAAGCGGAGCAGAATCATGCCTGTAGAAAACTAAAGTGTTACTAAGATTCTAAAACCTGGTTATCAGCCCAGCTCCAGTGGCTCACGCCTGTAATCCTAACTATTCAGTAGACTGAGATCTGAGGATTGCGGTACAAAGCCAGCCCAGGCAGGAAAGTCTGTGAGACTCTTATCTCCAATAAAAACCACTAGAAAACCAGAAGTGGTGCTGTGGCTCAAGGGGTAGAGCACTTGCCTTGAGTTGAAGAGCACAGGGACAGCTGCCAAGCCCAGAGTTCAAGCCCTAAGACAGACCAAAAATAAATAAATAAAACCTGGTTACCCAGGATAGGATGCAAAGACCCAATTTTAAAAAGATTGAATCTCCAGCTACATCCACCTAAATAATGTATTATGATAATACAGACACCAACTGCCTCTCTCTAATGAACCAAAACTCTTTACTTTATGAATGTGATCAGAGATTTAGTCTGAAAAAAGATAAACAATAAACTAAGTAGAATCATAGAATATTTATGACACCTAGGGAATATTATCTCAAGCAAGACTAAGTTTATTGTGTGTGTGCCTGTCATGGGGCTTGAACTGAGGCCCTGGGTACTTGCTATTATTTTATCTTATTTTTTTTCTTTCTCTAGCCTAGCACTTTTCCATATGAGTAACAGCTCCACTTCTGGCTTTTTAGTGCTTAACTGGAGATAAGCGTCACACACACCTCCCTGCCTGGCTTGGCTTTGAACTGAAATATTCAGATCCCAACCTCCTAAGTAGCCTGGAGTAGTACACAGGTATGGGATATTTTTGCCCAGAAAATCTTAGGTTTTTCAAGCACTAGTCAATCTTGACCTGTTATTTTAATCAGTTACAAGGACATTTTGGATTTGTACTATTGAAAAGTTGAGAGCTTATACCACATAAAGTGAGGTGAGGACAGGAGACATAGTACTTCCTTATCACAGATGCTATGTTCTTCAAGTCACTTCATGGAGAGCATAACAGGCCCAGTGTATCTTGTATTTTTCCTGAAGAAGGCAGACTACCTAATTCCATCTGCTATGGAAGGTCTAGAACATCACTATGCCTGGAACATATCACCTAACAGGAATGTAATTACCGTGAGGACAGAAATGCTCTTGGTTGTTTATTGAGCATTAGTGGGTCTTCTATGTGATGAAGAAGCATCTCTTGGAAGACGTGGACCACAGCATACATGGCATTGTAGATGTTGTAACTCTTCTGACATGGCCATGTCAAAAATGTGTCCGTGCAACCAATCCACAGTGGCATTGTATGAACAGTGACCCAATTTTGTACATTCAGACTTAATCAGTATGCACTGAACAGCCTGAATTCATAACCTAGGAAGGGAAATATCTTCTGATTCTTTGGAATAGTTATCCCTTGGGACACAACTGGTGAACCCAGAAATGTCTCTATAGTGGTGAGAGAAGATGAGAGGTTTGTGGAAGGAGTCTAGTAGGAAATATATTTTGCTGAGGGTCATGTCATCATAGGGTGAATTCATGGCCCACACTTTCTCTGCTCTTTTAAAATCCCCAAATTTAAGAATAAAGCTTAGTAGCAATTCAATGTCCCCATAAATGATCATCATATTGGTTGAAGATTCCATGATCTGGCGATATCTTGGTCGATCACTTGATAAATCTGAGATGCCATTTGTCTGGATGGTGTTCTCAAAGGCAAGCAGACTTCACTCTTGTCCATCTCTTCTCTCAATTCTGAGAGAAACCAGACACCATAGTCATCATCCATGATGGACAGTCCCACCCAGGTCCAGATGTAATGAAGCATCAAGGAGACCATGGCTAGGGCTAGACCTGAATCCTTGCAACCATCTGATAGCATCAAACTGTCCATGGTCACTCGGGAGAGAACCAAAAGACCCATAGGTGAACTAAAGGGGAAAAAATGAACACAACAGCAAGAAGAGGATGGTCATGGTCAGTGTCACAGTACTGAAGAGAAGTCAACAACCGCTTGCAGTGGTGGGAATGAAGGTTTGCTTGTCCCATTTGTAATATCATCTCTCATGTTCCAAGATTTTTGTAGAATTATGTGGATCAGGCTCAGAGCCTGGCATCATTCTTTGCTCTCTTATAGTCTCCTTTTATCTCTTCCAACAAAGATAATGTGGATGCCCCAACCAATTTGGGGGTCTTTTCCTTTGAGGCCATTACATATGTGAGACTCATAATACCACCTCTCCCCCCAACCTTCTTGAGGACAAGGTCAAGGTGGACTTAGGTTCACATCTCCCCACCCTTCCAAGATTCACCTGTGGAAGTTTGTAGAGGCCCAGCAGTATTCCAATTGGGACAGATGTGCTGGATGTTCCTGTGAGTATTGCTATAGCTTTTCTGTCTCTCCAGCAGGTGTAATTAAGGCTGTTTTTATATTTCCCAAATAGCAAGGTGAGTGGAATCTCTAACATCCATTTCTACTTAATGCAAAATATACATCTCAAACCTGAGAGTCATGCTGGGTAGCAGATGTGGTTTCTTGTTGATTTCCTCAACTGGGAGAATCAGGGACAGAACCAATTGGTATTTTAAATTGAGCCTGCACAGAGGTTACAGAAATTCAGGTAGGTTAACGTATATTACAAAAGATTAAGTGGGAATCTCAAGGCTTTGTTGAATTGAATGCTTGTTTCTACACACATTAATATGTTTAGACCCTGTCTTCAAAAAGGATGGGATTAAAATTTGGATCACTAGGAAGGTAATGATAATTGGAAGGGTTCCTGAAACAGGATTTTATCAATGCACACACTAGACTGCTGTTCTGAGATAGCAGCAAGGAAATGAGCTGGCTTTTCCTCTCTGTCATTTGTGGATACATGAAAATTACTGATATCTGGGCCATAGAGCTTGTCTAGCTCCCACACCAAGTCATTGAGTACCTTGAACTAGATCTGGGTATAAAGCCTATGAAGATTAGGTCTGTATATGAAGCAAATGAAGGAATGCTTAAGAGATACTAGTTGGCACAAACATCAATTAGATGTAGATGCTGGTGGCTCATGCCTGTAATCATAGCTACTCAGGAGGCTGAGATCTGAGGATCATGGTTCAAAGCCAGCCCAGACAGGAAAGTCTGTGACACTCTTATCTCCAATAAACCACTAGAAAACTGGAAGTGGCCCTGTGCCTCAAGTGGTAGTGTGCTAGCCTTGAGCTGAAGAGTGTAGGGACAGTGCCTAGGCCCGGAATTCAGGTCCCAAAACTGACAATAATAATAATAATAATAACAATAAAAGAACACCAATTAGGACATTATCTGAGCAAGGAGAAGACAGTTCCCTGGGATACAAAGCCTGTCCTGCTGGTGAGGGATCTTGGGGATGAGTGATCATCCAAATGCCAGTGGAAAACTGCACAGATAAGAGGGGATGGTGTCAGATCCTAAAGGGAGTCACTTGGTGCTTGCCCTTTCAAAACTAAGCAGAGCTGGGAGGTCAAAACAAAGTAGTTGAAAAGCATGCCTATCTGATGCCCATTCCTGCTTATCTTCTAACTGGGCAGGAAGTTATAAGTATTACCTGTTATTTATGTGTATGTTACATTTTTGTTTTTAGGGCTATGATTGTGAAATGGAGGATAGTTTAAAATTAACCAAAAGCCTAGTTCCTACTCTTTGCTCAAGACTATGACTGGTAGTAAATTTTTTATGTAGAAGCTGATAAATATATATTCATCAGGTCTGATAAAGAGGGTAAGGCTAGAGTGTTAGTAAATAAAAAGCCTCTTCTCTCAAGCCTCAAAATAGGACATCTCGCCATTTGGGTCTAATAGATCTCTCACACACACATGTAAAGCAGTATTCATATACATTTTAAATATTCTTTCTTGGTATTGTAAAACATCAGTAAATCATGGATCTAAGATCTTGTCCCCATTGAAAGATGTCTGGGAAGCTTCACAGAAAGCTGATATGCAGTGTAATGGTCACCACAGTTCAGGTTCCCAAGTCAGCCAGGGAAATGCTTTTGCACACCAGAGTGCTAAGCAGGCTATAGTGCTCTGCTGTAGGAAAATGGCTTGACTACGAGCATACCTATGTTTATCACAGCATTATTCACCATACCTAAGGTATTGAACCAATCCAGATGCCCCTCAGTAGATGAATGGATCAAGAAAATGTCACACACACACACACACACACACACACACACACACACACACACACACACACACAAATGGAATTCTATGCCTCCATCAGGAAGAATGACACTGCCCCATTTGTTAGAAAATGGAAAGAATGGAAAACATCCTATTAAGTGAAGTATGCCAGACCCAAATAAATATAGGTCGCATGGTTTCCCTTATTTGCAATAATTGGTGTATGTCTATGCTAATCTTATCAGATGATCTGAAAAGCTCAAAAGCTATGTACATATGATCCTATAAGATGATGCTAAGCAAAATGAACTCCAAGATACTGACACAAGAGTTTATTTTTGTTGTTCTTTTAATGTACTATGTAATTTTTTGTTTCTTTTGTATGTTCTTCCTCCTGTGGTATATGCCTGTTGTCACTGTATTCGATTTTGGTACCTTGAATCTTGTATATACATTTATCTAGTTTGGGGAGGGGAAGGAGAAAAACAAAATTCTGAAACAAGAAAACAGGACGACCCATTGCAACAATGATACTCACAAGACACTATGTCAGAAATGAACTTTACAACTTTGTGGGGGGCGGGGATAGCAGTGGGAGTTGTGAATGGAAAGAGATGGTCAGAGAAAAACAAAGGAGGGGGTAAAAATGATGGACAAGAAATGTACTCATTACCTTACTGATGTAACTGTAACCCCTCTGTACAGCATCTTTACAATAAAATAAAATTTTTGAAAAAGAAAGACCCTCCCGCAAATGGCTTGAATCACTTCTATCCTCAAATTTCTTAAGACAAACTCTTACCTATATGGAAGCCACCCTGTTCTGTTTTTCTCAGTATTCCCACAGCTGTGAAAATGTCTGGTGTTACCTGTTGGATAACATTTCTAGAATAAAGTCTTTATCTCTTCAACCCCAATCTCAGGTTTCAGATTCATCTAGACACAAGGACTCACAGGACTTCTATTGCTATAAACCACTAACAATTGAGATTCCTTTTCAAGATTAATAAAAGGAGAGTTAACCACATTGCCTGAATGGTGTGATCAAGTTTCCAATTTTAAATTTCTATTAACTCAATTATAAATAGAATTCTTTAGTCTCAGATCAATTGTTAAAGCTCCTTCATTAAGCTTAGGATGTATAAGAAATCACCTTTTCTTAATTATTATTTCCTGGCCTAAATTGGAAACAAACCCATTTTGACAGTGGGCCCAATATTATACAAGGGAGGTTACTTCTGGTTAACTTCCACTCTTGGGCAATTGAGCTCAAAGACTTTTCTCTTCTGGAAATAGCACTATCATACTCAAAGTCAATGGAATGAGAAAAGCTCTCCTGCAGAACAGGAAGACTTTATACATCATTCCTGCAGCCCTAGGAGGAACCTGCAGAACTGTAAAAGTTAAATGCTGTGTGTATATTCCAGACAACTCAAATATCTCCCCAGCCCTTCTGGATCTACACACTCAAATTGTTACTAAGTCTGACCCTACTCTTAGTTGTAACAAATGATTTGCGTCATGGCTCTATGCAACCACTTGATAGGGAAATTTGTTATTTAGCTTTATGGCATTAATAGGTAGAGGTATATTGATATGCTGCACCTTATATAGCTTCTGAGGATTATTATGCTCCAGAATTTCTTATTTGCCTTCTTTTCCAGTTTGTGGTTAAAGAATGCTCCTAATGATGTCCCATCCTGGCAATCCAACAACAGAACTTCCCATGTAACCCTTGATAAGATAGGACAAGACTTCAGATGCCTGGCTAGATAGGGTCAATGTCCCTGCTCAGCTTAATGCGGTGATAGAGATGGATCTTCACCAATCAATGTCCTTTAAGATTAACGGACCAAAGTCACTTGAGGGGAAAGTGAGGCAGGATAACCTAGGGAAACTGAGGCATGGTAAATAATTGCCAGTAATTAAAAACTTAAGCTGAAAGCTAATTCAAGAGATATTTATCTATTTACTTCTCTTAAG